CCCGGCTGGCTGCCTCCCCCCACCGGGGCCCCACGCAAGTGCCCCCGCCGAGCCCCCTGCCAGTTGCACCATGCCGCGCTCCTTCCTGGTGAAGAAGATCAAAGGGGACGGCTTCCAGTGCAGCGGGGTGCCGGCCCCCACCTACCACCCCTTGGAGACCGCCTACGTGCTGCCTGGCGCCCGGGGGCCTCCCGGGGACAACGGTGAGTGGGACCGGGAGGGGGCGAGAGAGGGGAGGGCAGCTCGGGCCCTCCCCAACTTGGGCTACGAGGAAGGACGCGCGCGGCGGGGAACCCCGGGAGGAGATTTCTCCCCGCGGTCTTCGCGAGAGCCGGCCGGGCGGGGCAGGGACCAGGTCTTACAAAGGGAAAGTCACAGGGTCGGCACATCCCGCAGCCACGCGCTAGCCGGCGACTTTGAAAGTTGTGGCCCTCGAACAGGGCTGGAGTGAGGGGGTGGATGAGAGAACACAGAGAGGGGGTGTTCATAAAGGGCTAGTGTTGGGGGCGAAGGCACAGGGTAGTTCGAAGGTACCCTCTGGGGGTCAGGGTGGAGGAGAGTCTGGCTGCCTAAGTGTGACCCCCTGGTGGGAAGCCAAGGAGGCCTGATTACCAGTCTCTGGAGAGATGGGGCTGGCTTCCCAGGGGTAACGGGGGCTTCCTTCTCTCTTCAAACCTGCACCCTGCTGAGGCCAGACAAGTGCTCTCAGACCCTCTTTTGTTACCCTCAGCCACATGCCTGGCAAAAAGGCTGGAACTGTCCTGGGGAGGAGGGGTTTCTGGGAGGGGTTCCCCCAAAGTGGTTCCTGGTCCTCTGGGCTGGATTCTCTCCCCATCCTCAGCTTTTCGCCTCCCTCCAGAGCCAACCCTGCTGCCGCTCCTTCTAAGGTCCCCCACCCACCCAGCTCTCCTCCACACATACTCCATCTCTCCTCAGAGCAAGTTCCTGCAGGGACAAGGTGTGGGGGATGAGAGAGGTCATACAGGCCCAGAAGGGGGTGATCTCTGGGGAGTAGGGAGAAGAGCAGAAACTGCTCTGTGGACTTCGTGCTCCATCGAGGGGATCACAAAAGGGTTCTCCTCTGAAGGCCCCCACCAGGGCAGGTGTCTGGAGAGGAAGTGTCCCTTTGGTAGGGAGAGATCTGACATGACATGTGGCATGGACTGTGGGGTGTGCGTGTGTGAGAGAGGGAGAGAGAGAGAAGAGAAAAAGAAGAGGAGAGAGAAGAAAGGGCTGAAGATGAAGGGGGAGGATATGGCAAAGACAGGAGGCCTGGAGGGTGGGAGCTTCTGCCTTGGGGACTTCCAAGCACTTCACCCACATTCCATCACTCTGCCCAGCCAGGCAGAGAGAGGGTGCTGGGCAAAGGGCTCTGTGACCTCATCAAGGTCAAAGAAGTTAGGGAGTGACAGAGACACAGCTACGGTCCCTCAGCCCCTGGACACCCCTAGATTTCCTGCAGAACCCCCTTCTCCTTAGTCCACACGTGCCTACTCCTGTTCTCCTTTCTTGACCCCAGGGCCTCTTGGGGTTAAGGACAGAGGCCCAGAGATATTCCTGGACTGGGCTGAAGGATGACAGGACAGAGGGTGGACCTGGGACCATGCCAAGGCTGGGGAGAGTGTATGCTAGGAGCTGGCAGAAACAAATATCTGCAAGACTGGGATATGAGTCCCTTAGGGGACTGGCATAAAGCCCCAGTTCCTCACCCCCTGAGGTCCCCTTGATCCTGTCCCCAGGCCAGCTGAGGAAACCCAGAGAAGCCCAGAGAATTTCCCACGCATAGCCAAAACTGCAGGCAGTTCCTCAGGAGGGAGGCAGGAGAACGCCTTGCCTTGAATTCAGTCCAAAAATGCCTTGAAAGGAGCCCTGGAGTGAATGGAGGGACTCTGGGTGGGGGCAGAGTCATCAGCAGGGGTGTTTCTGCAGAGTTCTACCAGGTTCAACACCCTACAACCACCCCTGTCTTTGTCCTTTCCCCAAAGGGCTCCACATCACCTCCCTGGCCTCTGGGAAATCTTGAAAATCTGGTAGCTGGGTACCTAGCCAGGAACTCAAGAGGCTTGGGCTCTAGCTCTGACTTGCTGTGTGACCTTGGGCAAGTGCCTTCCCTTCTCTGGTCCTTGGCTGCTCCAGTAGTTTGGATGGGATGAACTAAGCATCCTTCCAACTTTGATAGGCTCAGCTGTTGAAGGTCAGGTACAGTGTGGGAGGCACTGGAGACGCCTGGACCAGGGTCTACCGAAACGCCTGGAGGCCACTGTCAGGGTTTCCTTAGGGTTCGTTCCATTGATCATATGCCACCTGGCTAAGGCTGGCAGGGTTTCTGGGCTCAGGCATTTTTCCTGGCTCCAGTCTCTGCAGCCTGCCCTATGGTGAGGACAAGCACCCTGGTCTGGCCACTTTGGCAGTGTGTCTGCAGTGGATGGTCGGTGCAGGAGACTGGGGAGTGGGGGTGGCCCTTTGAGCCTAGGTAGGACTAGGAAATACAGGGTCTTCCTTATTGTGTTTTCAGGGGCCTCTCCCCTCCCTTGTTGGGCAGCGAGGGCTCCCTCATTGCACGGGTGGGTGGGGAGAGCTGGGGGTCCTCAGAGAGCCCTCCGGCTCCTGGTGGCCCGTTGTCTCTGCTCTGCCGGAAATAACCTTGCTGAGCGTTTGAGGGAAGTGTGAAAAATTGCTGAGCCGACGTTTTTCTCTCCCAGCGTGTGTAAGTGTGATGGATAAACAAGGAGAAAGAGAGGAGGGGGGGAGATAGATAGTTCCAGTTATTAGAAAGATCCTCTTACAAGCCATTCCTGCAGCTCGGGCTGCAGGGTCAGGACAAGGCTGGTGGGAGGCAAACTGGGGGGAGGGGTGCAGGGCAGAGGGAGCCTGTGCATGTGGAAGTCAGAGGAACCACAGGCTGTCAACTGAGGAGCATGCAGGACCCCACATTTAGGAGGTATATTCCCAACTCCAGGAATGC